CAGCGCGCTCGTCAACGATGCGCTGCTGGCACCAGTCGTGATGCTCAGCGTCGCGGTACTTGGGACAGTGCTCTTTCCCCGAGCGGTCGTCAGTGTCGGCCTGCTGCTTTCCACCATGCTGCTACGCGTCGGGATGCTGGTAGCCGTCGCGCTGCTGGGCGACGTGGTAACCCTAGGGGGTCTTTAGTTTGCATTCCCCTCCTGTTTTCCTCGGCGGGGAATCAACTCCGCCCCTCCTCCTGCTCCTCCTCCTCCTTCTCCTCCTCCTCTTCCTCCTCCGCCCCCCCCTCCTCCTCGTCCTTCTCCTCCTCCTGCTCCGCCTCGTTCTCGTTCCCCCTGCTCCTCCTCGTCTCATTCCTACGGAGCAGGAGGATGAGGGAAGGCACACCAGATTCATCAACGATGTCGGAATCAACCCTCACTCCAAGCTCCCTCCTCACAGGCCCCTACAAGGATTTCTTTCCACTGGGGCAAGTGTGTTATTGGGAGACAGCCGTTTCAAGATCATGAAGCGTGCCAAAACACCATTCGCGGGAGTCCAACGCCACGAATCAACCTGATTGTTGCGTCTTGACAACCCTGAATCGTGCCAGTGCATCCATTCCTGGATCTTCAACACCACGAATCAGCATCACTGTTGCGCTTTGACAGTGCAGAATCGCTCCAAAACGTTATTTGTGGTACGCTAGCCGCTAGCCGTTCGACTCCGTGACAATTCTGTAATTCAGAATGTGCGCGGCGCTCAGGCGAGAGCCACATGTTGAAAAGGATCCACCCTCAATCCGTGAAGCTCTTGCGACATGTTTTAATCGAATGTGCGCGGAGCTAACATCTGTGAAGTTGTTCCCCAATTGCGAGTTGCAGGATCAGAAATGGTGTGAAAGTCTCATTCCAGACGCCCGGCCCGCCTTTTCGACCAGCCTCGGGGTGCGACCAGGAGGAGCTACTTATTTGGATAGATAATGGAGGAATAGGAGGAGGAGGAGGAAGAGGAGGAGGAGGAGGAGGAAGCCGCGGAGAAATCTGTATTCTCTTGTACTGGAGGGACCCCAGTCCGTCAACAAGGGCGTCGAAAGGATAGTTCGTTTCCACTATTGGGGGGGTTCTAAAGACCTACCTCGGTTTCTCTTGGGAGTGCTCGTCCCAGTGATGCGCATCAAGGTGAAGCTGGCGCTCTCCGACGTGCTGGCCGGTGCTCGCATCCCAACCTTGGTGGGCCAGTGCGGCTCGTGGAAATAGGGCGAAGTTCGCATCCCACCTCTGGTGGGCCAGTGCGGCTCCTGGAAGAAAGGCCGATGCACGCATCCCATTCCCAGCGGGCCAATGCGGATCGTGTAAACACTGGGCCATGGACCTAGCAGGATTCGGGGCAGACTACGACGCGGAAGTCGTCCCAGTTATGGTCGTCATGGTCGAGCTGCAGTTCCGAGCCGCGCTGCTCGCCGATGCGTGGCTGGTGCCCGTCGTGGTGGTAGGGAAATGTTACTCGACGCAGTATTCGGCCCTTCGTGGGGTCAGGGGTCGAGCTGCTGCTCCCCGCCGTGGTGCGTAACGTCGAGATGCCAGTGCCCGTCGCGGAACTGAGCGGCGTAGTACTCGCGACAGTGTCCCACCCGATGGTGCATGACGGAGCGCTGGTGCTCCCGGTCGCGCTGTCCAGCGATGCTCTGCTGTTGCCCGCCGTGGTGGTCAGCGACGTCTTCCACAACGTCGAGACGCGAGTGCTCGGGGCGTTACTCGTCCCACTCCCGGTCGTCAGGGTCGAGCTGGTGCTCTCCGTCGAGGTGCCAGTGCCCGTCATGCCGCTCAGCGATGAGTTATTCGAGGCAGTGCTCGCCCCGCAGCCACACGTGGGAGCCGAGGCGGTGCTCGCCGACGTGCTACTCGACGGTGCGTTGCTGGTACCCGCCGAGGTGGTCAGGGACGCGTTCGAGACAGCACTCTGCGAAGCGCTGTGCACGGGGGCCTCTCTGAAGATGTTCCCCGAGAGGCTTACGGGACATCCAGACGGCCCCCGCCGGAGATGTGCCCGATGGGGCTTCTCGCGGTCGTGGTGGGCAGCGCTGCGGGACTCGACGCAGTCATCGTCACAGTCGTGGGCGTCTTGGTCAAGCTGCTGCTCTCCGGCGTGTTGCACGCCATCGTGATAACCCGCGGTGCTCGGCTCGATTCGTGCAGGGCGGGGACTGGTACCTGATTCAGCGTTGGTGCCCTTTGCGTTGCTCATCACAGTCGTGGGTGCGAGCCCTGGTGAGCTGGCCACTGCCATGCAGGCAAGAAGGATAAGGCGCATGCTCACCCGAATTGCGTTCTTGTATTTTCTCACTGGCGGGGTGTTCCAAGGAGTGTTGTCCAGTGGTTTTAGTAAAACATACGAAACACTGCACGCTAAAACCGTCGGCCAGCCAACGACGGCATGAAAGCCACAATTGTGTTGCATAACGCTGGCAGTGTTATGAGCGGCCCCGATACCCTTTTCGCGTCGACGAAGAGGGGGAGAGTTGGGGTCAGAGCAGGGGCGAATCCCATCGGCACGAGCGTCTCCTTCACAGTGCGGAGCGTCGTTGGTACTTGGCTTGTGAGTGGACGTGCCGATCTGCCCCCCCCGCGCGTCCTATGACGATGCCATGTTGGCCGTTAGTGGGATTCGTAACCTGGCTGGTGACCGTGACCTCGGTGCCTTCCTAGATGACCGGAGAGACGGGGACTGGGAATGGGTCTGTGCGGCCGGACAGCGCATCGGTCTTGGTGGACCTAGCGAGCTGCCGCGCCTCGGGAGTCTCTGCGGCCCCGCTTAGGTTCCCGCTGAGACCCACCGTGGTGGCTTTGCCCGTAGGGTTTGCAGCGCTTTAGTCCAGGGCCCGTCGGTGGCGGCTATCCCTTCCGAGGTAACGGGAGAGTCGATGACCACGGAGTTCCAGGGGTCCGCGTTCGGTGCCGCGGTCGTGGGTGCTCCTGCTGGCCTCGGGGGTTCACACTGAGGCCTGGGCCTTGGCACGGGTAACACAGCTCTGGCTTTCGACAGGAAGGCTCTCGAGTCAATGTTCAAGCTGGTTTGCTCAGCATCGACGGAGGTGCTGCCTTTTCCGCTGGTGGCATTTCTGGGCCAATGTCTCCTGGCTGGTGGTCACGCTGGTCACTGTGGTTTAGAGGTCCATCACATTGTCAGCGGTCTTCTGGTGCTCCTCTTACACGCTGCGGAGTTGGGCGTCATCTGGATTGGAAGCCTCCCGGGCTCTAGGTTGTGATAGCCATGATAGCTATGCTTCCCATGTTTCGTCAAGGTCTTCGTGCGCGTCTTCGTCGTAGTCTAGTGGCTCTTGACGCTCGGCGCGTTGTGGGGTGCCACTGGTATGGGAGGCCCCGTGATCGGTGCGATCGGGACGTCCCAGTTTTGAGAATCGGGGCTTCGGCGTCGACCGTGGTCCCTGGTGGTGGTGGGTCACGGTCTGGGGCGTTTTTGCGCACGAGGGAGTCATGCAGCAAGTCGTAACTGGTTTTGTCCCCCCCGCACACTATCATTAGCGCGCCCCTTAAACTGCGCGGGTCGGAGCGGCGTTGCTCATGAAATGGTATCAAGATCGGTTTTATGTTGGTGAGCAAGTTCGTTGTATGCAGAGACTGCTCGGTCGACGCCACCATCGCTCTGCAGGTCGGCGATGCAGGCTTCTTTTCGGGGCAGGTTGCTGTTGGGTGAGGTTGCCTTTTGGCGGCCCTTGCCTGGTGGGTCGGGCTGCCGTGGTGCAGGGGACGTACGGCGAGGACCTTTCGGAGCCATGGCGCGCGCGGACTATGAAAGGAAGGTATGCGTCCGGCAGGGTCGGGCTGTGTCTGGTCTAACCATGCTACTTATGGAATGTTGGGGGTCGGGCATTTTAGTTGCGCCCTGGGCCCGGAGACCCTCGAACCGAGACTAGAGGGGATCGAGGAAAGGAGGAGAGGCCCGAGGAGGAGTAAGAAGAGGAGAAGTGGATCGAGGATAGGAGGAGTGGATCGAGGAGAGGAGGAGGAGGATTGGAGGATAGGAGGAGTGGATCGAGGAGAGGAGGAGTGGATCGTAGGCCCGAGGAGAGGAGGAGTGAATCGAGGAGAGGCCCGAGGATAGGAGGAGGGGCTCGAGGAGTGGAGGAGGAGGGAGGGGAGGCGACCGCTGCTCCTCCTCGGGCCGCCCGCGAGTGGCACTTGCTCAGGGCCCGCCCGGTCCGAGTCGACGTCGGGTTCCGACTCGGATTTCCCAGTGGAGGCCCGGCCAGCGCGTCGTGCCGCCAGGGAGGAGGAGGAGGAGGATGAAGAGGAGGAGGAGGAGAAGGAGGAGGAGGCGGAGGAGGAAGCCAGGGGAGATCCCGTCTGTGGTGGGGGGGTTCTGGCCTGCAGCACTTGAGCTGGACACCCAGGGGCAACGGCAGGGAGGGATAGGCTCCAGGGGGGATGCGTGAAAGCCCAGTCGCCCACTGATCGCAGATCAGGGCATGTTACCCCGCCCCGCCCAGGAACTTACAGATTCGCTGTCGGGGGCCCATCGCAGGTTCCAGGTCGATGTTTCCCCCCCTGAGCCGTTCCCCCCTGAACGTTGCCCTCCGAGTACGAGTACGTCCAGACCTCCAGTGCGACGCGGTTCTCGCTTTGAAAGCGACCTCAGGGGCGACCGACGCGCTATCAGTTTTGGGGGGCATGGCGTGTCGCAGGGGTCGCCGCCAAGGCACGCCAAGCAAACGTTCCCGGACGCAGCAGTTGGAGATACGGCAGCTTGATATTGGCAACCAGCTGGGCATAGGTTGGACATCTTATAGTCTTTGGGCTTAAGTGCCATGTCCAGCGGTTGGAGTTTGTGCGGCTTGGAGCTCATCCACGGCCAACTTGGAGTCAATGTGGGCTGGCATCGACATTTAATGCGAGACATTGTGTTTCACTTTGGTGTCCAACCTGCGAAGGCAGAGTTTGTGAGTACTTCGCCTGCGCCCGAAGCCAGAAAAAAAAAGTTGGAGATACGGCAGCCTCAG